CTGACAATGTAGGGGAGGGCACAGTTCCCACCTGGGCACAATCATTGCAGCAAAGGCAGACAGGGCTGTCATCCATCAACAAACCCAGCAATGTGCAGATGCTTTAGTGGCCACCAAGGACCCAAGAGCCAACGGTGGGATTTCAAGAGCAGGGTTGGTCATGAAGGCTTCCTGGAGGAGGTGACAGCCAGCCGGCTGCCCCAGGTCCATTCCACAAAGTCACAGAATATCAAGACTGGGTTAGTGCTGGCCTACTGTTCACCTACTCTGAGTGGGAGTCAAAAGGCCCTGGGGGAATTCCTAGGTCCGAATTTCCACTCTGGCGTGGCCTAGACAGCTAGCCTCATACACCATGCTTCTGACTAAGACCACTTGCAGCTCAGAGTCCAGCGTCACCTCAGCTCCTTTGTACCAACCCAGGCAAAAAAACAAGTCACCCCTGGGAGCCACAATAATGACAAGATGCAATGGCTGTGTGGCAGAGCTCACAGCCCATCCAGGAGCATGGGTTCGAGCCTCGGCACCCTGCTAATGTGCCTGGAAGGCAGTGGATGACAGGCTAAGGGCTTGTGGGAGACCCAGTTGGAGTTCCTGCCTCCCAGCTTCAGCTAGGCCCAGCCCCAGTGGGTGCAGACATCTTTCTCTGACTTGTGTCTCTCAAATGTATAAAACAAATCTTTCCAAGACAAAACGGTGACAGTGCAGCCTCCCCAGAGGGTGCACCTGCCCATTTGGGGAGGTGCCTGAGAATGGCTGTCCGCCGCTCTGTGTCCAGGGAGGAAGTATTCCCTCTCAGTGCTTCTGAAAAGCAGGCGCTGTTGCCTGCAGCACCAGGTTTACCGCCCTGTCCCTTCCTCCACCAGGTGCTCAAGTTTACCACCCACCAGCGAGCTGCCCTTCCCTGATGCCCCTCCTCCCAGGGCAGGGCACTAATGGGTGTCTGTTACAATGAACTCTAACACTGACCCAGTGAAAATGACCTAGAGGATAAATCCTTGCCTTGCACCTTCCAGAATCCCATATGGATGCCAGTTCACGTCCTGGCTGCTTTACTTCCCATCCAGTTCCCTGCTCATGGCCTGGGAAAGCAGCAGAGGATAGCCCAAGTCCTTGGCCCCTACATACACAGGAGATCTGGAATAAGCTCCTAGCTCCTGGCTTCTGGCTCCAGAATGGCCCAGCTCCAGCCATTGAAGCCATTTGGAGAGTGAACCAGCAAATTGAGGACCTTCTCTTTTGGAAACTACCTTTCAAGTAAGAAAAAAAAAATATGTATGTATGTGTGTGTCAGTGTCAGACCTGTAGATCTAATGGCCTTGGCTGTAGTTGGCATCAGCATTCCTTGGAGGTCAGGGTCAAGGTTCCCCAGCAACACCTGGGGTCCTCATGATGACCCCTAGTGCCTCATGGAGGTGTTCCAACAAGTAGAGTGACAAAAAATGATGGCTCCACAAAGCCAGTGTGATTGGCCAAACAGCTGGGTCCCAGGAGGGGCAACCGTGCACACCAGTGCATGAAATCGGGCTCAAGTCAGCCAGGGGGCAGCTCAGCAGCGGACGTGCAGCTGCGCCCGCTCCCTGCCGTGCTCTGCCTGAGACAAACATGGGGGAAAGGGGACACGCTTCCCCAGCAATGCTGTCCAGGCCTGTGCTCTGCATTCACCAGCAAGAGATCCTACAAGAACGAACTCCACACAGTGTGGCGTGGAGGCCACTTGTGTGTCCTGTCCCCTCATCCGCACGTGACAGCAGCGTCATCAGATCACTGCCAGCATGACGGCCTGGAGAGGAAGTGGCATGGGTGGGATGAGGGAGAGGAAGAATGGAAGCTGATTGGCTGAGTGGGCAGGGTGAGCTTGGGGCATATGGCCCCAACAGCAGGTGTCTGACAATTCCCTCTTGCATTGCACCCACTGAAAAACATTTTTTCCCAGTATTTTTCCCCCTCCAATTCTAACGGCAGTACATACCATCGTCATCCCCACCAGATGTTTTTAAGTCCTGCTTGGGAAGCACAGACCATGGGAAGGTCAAGATGGGGAAGGGAGTGACTTGGTGGGCCAGGGCATTGCAAACAGAGAAACCAGCTGCACGGCCGCTTCTCTTTCACCCTGGGGACTCTCCAACCCTGCCCTCAGTGTAGCCCAGGGCTCTAAACTGACCCTGCCCTGCCCATTCCCCACGCCTGCCATCAACCCCACAGCCTTGGGCCGATGGCTGGGAGGACATGGTCTGCTCTGTTTGGTAAGGGAAAGGATCAGATTGCATTGTGTTCTGGAAGGCTCCAGAAGGCACAGGTCCTCCTGCATTCAGAGCTACGCCCGCTTGTTTTCCCAGCATGCATGCAGGGATGCCTGTCACTGAGATTGCCTGGCAACTGCACAACCTTAACTGCCCAGGTCCCATCCCTGGGGTCTGATTTAAGAGACTGGCCGTAGGCCTTGAAAGCAGTAGTCCAGACAAGCTCTGTGCCCGATGCAGGGCTGGCACTCTTGGGCTAGGAAGTCTCAGCACGGCTAAACCACTCCGGGACACATGCTCAACGGCACCTGACCGTGTCACTCCCGGATCCTCAAGCAGCAACACAGCTGCCGCCACCAGGGAGAAACCTTGGGCTGCAGGGTCCGGGCAAGCTCACAACACAACCAACTCAGGGCTGGGCCAGCCTGGTCCTCGAGTACTCTTAAGGTGACCTCTGTACCCTGTCCTCTAACCCCCTTCCAGGGCAAAATGTCCCCAAACGACTCCTCATGAACAAAAGACAATCTATTCATGTGTATGTGTATGGGGGGAGGGGGGTCGTCGCCAAAATCTCCATGGATAAGGTATCGCAGTATTAAATAAGCTGTGATTTTAGTGGCTATTTTAACCTGGAAGCCTGTCCTCCCTGACCACTACCTTCCTGACCACTTCCAGAGGTTTAGGGAAGAATGAAGTGGTTCTGGGCATCAAAAAAACATTTTAAAAAAGGGAAGGGGGAGGGGGAAAGAGGACCAATTACATGGCACAGTGGATTAAACCACCACCTATTAAGCTGCACCCCTCTTAGACACAGGTTCATGCCCTGGATGCTTGGCTTCCAATTCAGCTGTCTGTTCATATGCCTGGGAAAGAGTACAGTATGCTCCAAGTACCTGGGACCCAAGTGGAAGAGCTGTATAGAGCTCCAGGCTTCTTGCTTCAGCCTGGCCCAGCCCTGGCCTTTGTGGCCACGTGGACAATGAACCACAGGGTCGGAAGAAATCAGTCTCCGCCCTCTGACACACTACCTTTCAGACTAAAAAAAAAAATTTTTTTTTTTTTTTTTTGCGGGGGGAGAGGCAGATTTACAGAGAGGAAAGACAAAAAGATCAGATCCTCCTCCGCTGGTTCAGTCCCCAAGTGGCCACAACCACCAGAGCTGAGCCGATCCGAAGCCAGGTGCCAGGAGCCTCCTCCAGGTCTCCACACAGGTGCATGATCACAGGCTTTAGGACTTCCTCTACTGCCTTCCCAGACCACAAGCATGGAGCTGGACGGCAAGTGGAGCAGGTGGGACACGAACCAGCGCCCATGTAGGATCCCAGCGTATACAAGGTGAGGATTTAGCCTCTTGGCTACTGTGTCGAGTTCTACATCAAAACAGGATCAGCACTGTGGTACAGCCTGCTAAGCCTCCGCCTCTGATGCTGGCATCCCTAAGGGCGGTTTGGGTCCTGCCTGCTCCAATTCCCATTCAGCTTCTTGCTCACACGCCTGCGAAAGCAGCAGAGGATGGCTCAAGGGCTTGGTTCCCAGCTCTCACGGGGAAGATCCGGAAAGTTTTGAGCTCATGGTTTCAGCTCCTGACCGTCGCGTCATCTGGAAATGAAACCAGCTTCTTCTAACTTGCCCTTTTACATAAATAAAACGTGAATCAAAACAACAAAGGAAAACATCAAAGGAAAACATCCACCAAACCAATACAAACTCCGTAGGGGCCAGGACTTGTTCACTGCTGAATTTGTCACCAAGAACACAGCCTGGCACACGGCAAGACCCGATGGATGTGTCCACAACGCGTCCTGTTAGAAGGTCCCGGAGCCACCAGGCTGCCGTTGCCTCAGGCAAGCAGGTTCAGCAGCAGCTCAGGGAGACTCCACAGAGGCAGCAGACACACAGGTTTTAATTGCTAGCTTTGTTCTGGGGGAGTCGGCACTGTAGGGCAGCAAGTTAAGCCTCTGCCTGACACAAGCAATCCCACATACACGTTCAAGTCCCGGCCTCTCTACTGCCAACCCAGTTCCCTGCTGATGGCCTGGGAAAAGCAGCAAAAGATGGCCCGAGCATCTGGGCCCTTGCACTCACATAGGAGACCCAGAGGAAGTTCCTGGCTCCTGGCTCCTGACTCCGGCCTGGTCCAGGTTTGACTACTGGTGGCCATGTGGAAAGGGAGCCAGCAGACAGAAGCTTTTATTGCCTCTTCCCCCTTTCCAAGTAATTTTGACTTTCAAATAAATTAAAAAAAAAAAATTTTAAGAAAGTTACAAAAAGTACAATAAACGAGAATCCCCAACAGGGCAGCTCCTTTCTGGGAGGTAGATGCTAAGTGGCTTTTCTGGGACCCCAGAGACTCGGCATACACGTGGGGTGTCTGTCCACGCCTCAGCCAGTGCGGGTTTGGCAGCAGCCGTGTGTGCGGTGTAGAGGAGGACACGTGGAAATGTCTGGCCCCCCAGCAGCAGGAGGGGGAGCCGAGATGCAGAGGGGGAAGTGCTCGCCGAGGCCAACTCCCAGAGCCAAGGACACCGGCCGACTTGTCCGCCTGAAGGCCCGAGGGGCAGGGAAGTGGCAGCAGAGAGGTTAGGAAGGGATGCCAGCGTTCCTCCCCAGCAGCGGGTTTGGGCTGCTTCGGGCTGGGACTTGGGACATGCTCGAGCCCTGCCCGGAAGGGGACGCCTGGCAAGGAAATCCTTGTCCTAAAAAGGAATGACACACACAGCAATGGCTATGACGCTGGACTGTAAGAAACTGCCGAGTCAAGCATTTTTAATGCATTTTCACATCAATGCAATACAAATACAGATGTTACAATTTGTTCCATTCCTTGGAGATCCATAAAAAAAGGAAAACCAACTCACAGTCAGAACTGATAGCAAGCACTGAGGAAGCCGAGCCATGGGATTCTTTATTTCGTCACTCCGACCCCAGCGAGTCTTCCAGGCGCTTGGGACAGCACTGCCTGCCTCGCTGCCCCTGCCCGGGAATGCGCCGACAGGCGGCTGCGCCACGGGCAGAGGGCACGCAGCACCTCCTACACACGCGCCAGTCCTCTGTGCCTGGGACTCCTCCCCTAGCTGCTCCCAGTTAGGTACAAAACGCAGTCCTCTCACAAGAGTTTAGAAAGATTTTATTGGTTACAATGATAGAAAATGGATCATTTAAGTTCTCCTCTAGTTATTGTTTGCAGCAACAGCATAAAAAAATCTTTTTTTAAAAAATACATCTGACAAGCTCCGCTAATTTATTTCCTGCCATAATGGGAAAAAGAGCCAAGCACTCTTGTCTATATTGTTAATTCTTTCTCTCTCTCTCTCTCTCCCTCTCTAAGGCTACATTGGTTAAAATCAACGGACAACCCCTTTTGTATGTCAATTGTAAATTTTAATGTTTTCATTAGAATAGTCTTTGAGAGCACTCTCCAACAAGAAGCAATAAAATAACTGACAGCAAACTTTGATACAGAAACACTCCAGATTAACAACGCCAACAAAAAATGCAGAATGTAAATCACATACAATTGAAGCGTCCAAAACAATTTAAATAATTTTAAATATTTTATTTTTAAACGGCTACAAATGTTTTATTCAGTATTTCAACATAAAGTCCCCATAACAGAAATGTAACAAAATGGGAATGACAGTGAAAGGGTTAAAGTGGCACAAACTCACCAAACAAATATTAAACTACAAATTTCAAGAGGTAGATTACTTTTAGAGTTGAGAACAAAGAACATGAATAAAACCTAGCCATTTCTCACCAACTCAGTCATGGAGGGGCCGGGGGAGAGGCATCGAAGCGCACGGAGGAAGGAGACTCGGCCCTCAGCCAGAGGCCAACGGCTGGTTTGTGTTCACCTCGTGCTAAGAGTGAAGTGTAAAACCTGCTGTGGAAATGCACTTGTACTCCCGTGTAGACACACAGCTGCTGCACAGCCTGGGGCGCGTCTTGTGCATTGATATATTGCTACATAGTCTCTGATAATATCATAGTTATAGATCAGTGCCAGGTAACAGCTGAGAGGCTACAGGTCCCTGTGGACATACCGGCAGGACGCTTGGAGAAGAGGCGTAAAAACAGTCCGAGAGCCCACCTGGGTCCCTCTCCGCGACGCTGGCAATCTGCTCGTGATAAAAAAGCAACCGGGCCGGAGGTCAGCTAAACGCTTCTCTCTGTCTACAAGTCATTTAAAAGAAAGGCATCAAGAGCTGGTGTGTGACCAAAACATTTTAAAATGAGTGCATCCGAATTTGTCATCCCTGAAATCTACGACAAACTACTGACAAGACTGAGAACTTGCTTTGTAGGGTTAAGTCCCAATCTTCCTTTCTCTGCTGTGTGCCAAAAACAAGGGCCACACTCAGATCTCAGTTAGCAGTCCCGAGACGAGGAGCGCGGCGGTGAGCCCGGCGGCTCGTGGCCAGTGCCCACCTCTTTGGGTCTCGAAGCCCGTGGGCTGCGCGCCCCCGAAGCAGCGGAGCCTGGCCCTAGCAGGCGACCAGCAGCCTGCAGGCCTGGGCCGCGCCAGGCTCCTGAGGCAGCTTCCGCTGGTCTTGCAAGCTGGGTCCGCGTCCTTGCCGTAGTGCTTATCCTAAGTTGAGCATGCAATAGCTTTTAGTCAGTTAAGGTTTGTTTTGTTTTGGGGGCTTTTCTACAGGAAGTTCCTAGAAAATAAGAAAACTGAAGATAAATGACAATGTAACAAAACCTTGTATGAATTGACCATGTTAAAGAAAAGGTGAGGAGACCAAAGGACAGACGTCACCAAGACAGCGACACATACGGGACGGTGAAGGTGTTGAGGGGCTCATGCTGGGGTGACCCCAGCAGGGCCACAGCTCCAGAGGAGGTGTGCTGACTCAGTGCCTGGTAAATGAGAAGAAACCTAGTCTGGGATTTCAGGTCACTGCCCTACCCTCAGGTTTTCTTGACTGACTTCGGGGGGCGGGGAACTCAGCACACAAAGCACTGCTCTAAGAGCAAGATTAAGGAACTTGGCAAGCACACCCCGAGAGGTTCCGAGGACAGGGAGCACCTCTCTCTGGCCTCTGGTCCCACTGGAACCCACAGCAACGACCTCGGCCACAGATCTGAGCGGGGTCGCAGCAGAGAAGGCCCGGTGGCAGGTGCCGCACAGGCCTGGCACGCCTGGCTTCCCTGGTGGCTCTGTCCTCGGGGCGATGCCAGGTCTTTCTGCATCCTCACCGGCACAACAGAAAGCAGTACGCTCTGATGGCACAGGCTGCTCAGAGACTTGTCTGAAACACTGTGGAACCAAGCCAGCGTGCAGGAGCAGCCAGGGCACAGGCTGTGAGTAGGCCAAGGCAAGAAAAGCAAGACTACCCACAGCCCAAGTCTCAGTCACTGGATCAGCTCCAAGTGAAGCGCACAAGCAGCAACACACAAGCGGCCAAACGGCTCAACAGAACGTAACGTGCGCACGGGGGGCGAGGCCGAGGGCCCAGGCTCAGAGCCCGGCCGCCATCATCCAAGCTCGGGAACGCTGGCTCTGCTCCAAGGAGACCAAAACCAATGCTGCAGAAACAGTCACCCATGTGGCCAGTCAACGGAGGAGGGCCTGACGCACATCTGCCTTGAATTCCCCAGAATACAGTTACGGTCACCTGGCAAGTCAAGCCCTGGACAACACGGGTATCCTGCAGACCACAGCCCAGTGCCAGTTCCACTGGATGTCAGGACGACAGCCAAGCTGCCTGATGCTGCTCCCCGCAGCCAGGAAATTAACTTCCTGGTAACTATCAAAGAAACTCCCCTGAACTATCTTCGCAGTTCTCTGTAGACTTCAGGGTTCCTCAAATATCAAGGCTGGTGAAAGGCCTGGCTGAACAGACTCTAAACCCACGCTGTCTCAGAGCTCTCCGGAACACACCTGACCTTCTCGTAACGACTTTACCCTCCAATTGTACAAATGGGACTCAGGGTAAAATAGGAAATCCTCCCAGATAACATCGGAGATAAGAGAGGCAAAGTACCTTCTGAGAGGCATTTGTTAGCACAATCCACACGACGAACGTAGCCTGGACAGAGGCAACCTGCAAGGACTCTGTCCAAGAAAGCCTTGATGGGATGGTGCCTCCTCAGCCCAGGAGAAGCACCCAGGGCACAGGGTGTGCCTCACACCAGGCCAAGCTCTGATACGACATGCCTGCGTGTACCAAGCACTGACCAGATCTCCTGTGGGCCAACACGCCTCCGAGAATGGCTTTCTGCAAATCAGATCCTTTAACCCTAAAGTCAGCCACTCCCACCAGCCTTGGCCAAGGACTCCTCCCTCTTCCTGGAGCCACAATGAAGGCACACGGAGCACCTGCTCCATCATACAGCAGTAACTGCGCCTACATGTCCTCAGAGCATCTCCCAGCAGCAGCCACACCTCAGCGACCCTCCACCTGCTTCCCTGAAACATGAAAGGATCATGAGACACCCTAAGCCACTGCCAGCAGAGCCAAATCAGGGCCCACAGCACGTGCTGCTCGCAGAAATACTACCTAGTGGTGAGCAATCCCCGAGACGGACACAGGCACTGCTCACAAGTTCCAAGAACGCACACACAGCAACTCAGGCTGAGGATGCAGAGAGCAGGAGAAGCCAACACAGGAACTCTAACTTCTGCTCTACCCCTTCCTCTGTCACGAGCAGCAGCCCTGAACGGGGAACACGAGGGCAGGTGGTACAGCTCCCTCGGAGCTCACACTGGGGCGGCAGTGGCCTGACAATGGAGGTGGGCACAGACCCTCGGGGGGCCTATCTCCTGCTCCTCCCCCAGAACCGGGCTTCTGACAGAGCACCTAGCCCTGCAGAGGGCTGTGCGGGGAGGGTCCTACAAGGGAATGTGCTGTCTGTCCTGCTTTGTCTGAGTCAGTGTGGCAAGTGCTAAAACCCACTGTCCACAGCAGGCGGCGGCAGGAAGGCGCAGAGCAGTCCGGCTGACTGCAACGATGGCCGCCTTTGTACTGCTGCCGTGCTCAGCGAGCCTGCTCAGCCCGAGAAGCGGTCTGTGACAAGGAAACCCTGCAAATGACCCTGGGACAGCGCCAAGGGAGTAAGAGGGCTGCAGAGCAGCCCACTCTAAGCTGGGCGCCTCGGAGCGCTTTCCCAAGGTTTCAAGTTACGCCATGCCTGGCCCTATTCAAGAAATGGTACACGTGATGAGTGCCAAGTCTCAAATAAACACATTTATTTCTCTCCACAGCAGCCAAAGCACTGACCCAGCTTACCTACCACTTACAGATCAGCTAATTCCTGAGCACTCAGGTGAACATTTGACGGGCAAGGAAAACAAAGGCTCCAGGGGCGTGTCTAGAGTGGTCTTCCCTGGGCTGGCCCCCATGCTCCTGAGCTTACCTGACGTCCTTCAGCTCCTGCCTGGCGCTGCCATCCTCTCTGCTGCTGTCCCCCGAGTCGGCAGCAGCTGCCAGCTGAAGGCTCCTGGTGACGGGCCCACCGCTGCGCTCCCTGCATCTCACAGTGAAGCGATCTGTTCGCTTCTTACTTGCCAGGGTGGCCTCGCTCTGTAACACAGCTCTGCTCTTCTGCGCCCTCGCGTGCAGACTGCGGGATGCCTTGCTGGAGAGCTGCGCAGAGTGACTCTTGGCCACAGCCCTGGGCTTTTTGGCCTCCGTGTGGCTTAGTTTAGCCATCCTGATTGGGCTGGAGTTCCTTAAAGACGACGAGGTTGGTTTCTTGGACTTCACAGAAGTGGCGAACTTGACATTCTGCTTGGACCTGAAGGAGGAGGAGGAGGAGGGTAGCGGTACCTGGGCGGGACCCGAGCTGCGAGCGCGCGTCTTGCCCAGTGGAGCCTGTGTGCTCTGCATCTTGATCTCGGCGTCGGCTGTCCTTCGGCGGTGGTTGCTGCTGTTCTTGTCGCTCCCTGTAGGCGATGAATGTCCACTCTTCTTGGCGGAATGGGAAGCTTTTTTTTTGGAAGGAGAGAGGGGCTTTTTGGGGCAGCTGAAGGCGGCGTGCTTGTTGAGGCTTCCCACGTAGGTGAACTCCCGGCTGCAGTACGGGCAGATGTGGGGGGATGCCTCAGCAGCACCCTTCAGGTCGGCCTTCCGCCTGGCCGACTTGTTCTTCTGCAGGATGGCCTTGTGCACCAGCTGGTTCTTCTTCTTCAGGGCGTTCAGCTTGAGCTTACTGGACGACACCTTGCTGAGCTCCACGCTGAAGTTGAGCCTCTTGGGCTGCCCCATGCGCCGGAAGGCATTTTTCCCAGGGGGGTCCAGCACCACCACGCCGTTCTTGGGCTGCACAGTCTGCCGCAGTGGTACCGGGTTTTTCTTTGGGGTGTACCTCTTCTTGTCACTTGCGGAGGCGCAGGCCAGGATGTGCTTGTGGAGCTCGGGCATGTTGTCGACCCCTTTGCCACACTTGGTGCAGCGGATGGCGGTGGTGAACGTCTGCGGGATGTTGTGGGTGGTGAAGCTGGTGGCCGTCACGCCGATGCCCATGGGGCTGCGGTGATGGTACTGGAAGGGAGGTGGCTTAAAGCTGGGGTAATGCTGATTGAGGCCCAACCGCACATCCGGATCTTTCGACTTGATCCCCGAGGCCATGATTTTTATGGTGGTATAAAGCTCTTCGGAGGAATCGTTCAGTTCCTCCTCCTCCTCTTTAGCGGCTTCTAAAGGCTCCTCCGGCAGGCTCCGCATGTGCTCGGCGTGGGCCTTGCTCGGGTCCGTGAAGTTGTGCGGTCGCAGGGTCCCGCTCTCAAACTCGTGGTGCGTGCACACCTCATCCGGGTGCAGGTCCCGCTGGTGCTGCTGCAAATTGCACAGGAAAGCAAACTCTTTTTTACAAACGGAACACACGAAGATATTCCCTACTCCGTGAAGCAGAAAGCGGTGTTCTGACAGATCTGTTTTGTCCTTAAAAAGCTGCACACAAAATTCACATTTGAAGGGCCACTCTTCAGCGTGAACCGACAAGTGTTTGGTGAGGTCCTTGATGGAAAGGAAAGGCGACCCACAGACATTGCAAACAAAGTTCTTGCTGAAAGTCTGCTCTGGCGTGGCCGGCGGCTCGTCCCTGGGCTTCGGCCCTGCACCCTCCAGCTCCTCCTGCTTGAAAGTTATCAGGGGGAGGGAAGCCTCCAGGTTGTCACCAGAGGATACGACAGATGACACAGCCGAGAGAGGGGGCGGGGAAGGGGAAGAGGAGGAAGATGAGGAAGAGAAGGATGATGATGAGGAGGAGGATGACGAGGAGGAAGAGGAAAGCGTCGGAGGCCCAGGCGAAGCGGCAGACATGAGAGGCTCCGAGGGAGGGACAGGGGAAGGCGAGGGGGACACTGTCGGGGACAGAACAGGAAGTGGAGATTGTGTGGTGGCACTCGAGAGTGGAGAGGGACAAGGATGAGGAGATGCACCGGAAGGGGCAGCTGGGAGGGGAACCGTAGGAAGTAGGGGAGGGGGCGGAGTGGCGACAGTCAGCACAGGAGGGCAGGCCGGAGGGGACGAGGGGTCTGTGGGCGTCAGGAGAGGAGGCAGCTGACCCGAGGGAACAGAAGATGCCTGTGGGGCTGGCGATGAGGGGCAGACATCAGGTGGGGGCTCAGCGGGGGGCGTAGAGAAGCCAGAGTTGGGGCCCAGCTCAGGCTCTGGCTGGGCCCCGAGGGACCCGCAGGGATTCGGGCTCCCGGCAGCGCTGGCAGTGCTGGCAGCACCGTCCGCCGCTGCGTCCTCACCACTGTATTCGTTGAGAAGCACCCTCTGCAACATGCGGGTGGTCGGCTTCTTTTTCTTGCTGGCACTACACGTGGGCTGCGCCGTGGGATTTTCTTTGGGTCCCTTGCCTTCCGGGTCACAAGGCTTTTTATGCACACTGAGGTCTAAAACAGACTCCCATGGCACCAGGGTCTTGCCCGCCCCATCAGCCTTCTGTTTGATGCCACTGGATAAGTCCAGGGGCTGCTGGTTGCATACACTGCTGAAAGTGGAGCTGGCTGCCCATTCTTTGGGGATCTTGTACTCCTCAAAGCACGGGGGTGTCCCAGCCTCCCTCTCCTCTCTCGCAGATACACTCCACGCGGGCGAGTCGCTGCAACTTTCCAGTTTGGCTTTCTTGGCAGTGAGAACCGTGTCCGTCCACACCTTTTTGCCATCGCCTGGCTTTCCAAAGTCTCGCAGGGCAGGGCTGTGCTGCGGGGAGCTGGGAGGAGAGCTGGTCCGCCTCTTGAACCTGCTCGAGGTCACGGGCAGCATGGACGCAGGGGCAGACACACAGACAGGGCCAAACTGGGGGATTTCTGTGGCTGACAGCCCGGAGGCGGGGGTCAGCTCCTCCTGGGTCTGAAGCAGCTGTCTGAGCTTAGATGGTAAGTACACACTTCTCTCTTTCTGGAAAGACACCGCCTCTGTGGTTGACACGCCAAGAGGCAGAGACAGAGAGCATGAGGGCGCCACGGGCTCGGCGTCCACTTCGGCTTTGATTTTGGGTAGCGCGGGAGGACTTGCGGTCCTGCGCTTCTTGGCTTCACAGTTGGTGCTGCCGGAAGGCTCTTTAGGAAGATCATCCGTCACAGAGACCTGCGCGGGCTTTATGTTCTGCGTGATCTCCACCGTGACTGGCGTGAGCAGACAGTTGATCCCAAACAGCTCTGCTGAGTTGGACTCCATCTCGATCACGTCGCAGTTGCTGGTGCTGCTGGTGCTCTGGATCTTCCCATCGATGTAGTAGTTCAGGTTCTCAGAGATGTTGCTGGAGACATCCATGATGTACACGTCGTCCGCCTCCCCGTCCTCCTCGGGCTCCGTGCTGGGGACGTAGACGGCTGCCGGGGGCGGGGCCGGCTCGGCCGGAGGCTGGGGCTCCTCCAGGAGGCCTCCTTTCCGCCGGACCCCTTTGGGAATTAGGTGCCGCTCGTGGACCCGGCGTTGGTGCCGCCGCATGTTGGTGTGAGTTCCAAAGACTTTCTTGCAATACTGGCACGGATGCAGCTCTCTGACCTCCCCGTTCTCTTCTACTGCAGAGGAGTTCACAGTCTCTTGAGCAGCCTTCTCCGCGTTCAGGGACAGACCGTCCTGCCCCAGACTGGGAGGCTGTGCCACTTCCGTGGGGGCAGCCCCATCTCCAGCCCCTCTGCCATCAGCCAGGTCCTCCGGTGGCCGCTGCGTCAGGCTGGGCTTCCGCTTGAGTCCCGCCTCATGCCGCCGCTCATGCCGCCGCCGGTTGATCTGGGTGCCGAAGGCTTTGCCACAGTACTTGCACTTGAAAGTGTGGCTGACCGCAGCCAGGTGGATGTGCATGTGCCGCTCGAGGCCCTGCTTGGTTGTGAACTTGCGTTCACAGTGCTGGCACGGGAACATGAACACTCCCAGCACCTCGCCGTCGGCCTCTTCCCTGGCCTGGGGGGTTCTGCTAACAGGTGCCGCCTCTGCAGCGTCTCCAAGAGTTTCTTTTGAACTGTTTTTTGGTTCTTCTAATAAATCTTCTGGCTTCTCATCACACCGTATCTCTGGCTCTTGCCCAGAACTTTCATTTGGCAGGTCAGCTTCTTCTTCCCCCTCTTCCTCCAACTCCTCATCCTCCTCATCCTCCTCTTCTTCCTCCTCCTCCTCTTCTTCCAAATCCTGCACATCACAGTTTGTGGCTTCTAGTTTCTTGACTGGCTCTGGCTGTGGCTCACAGGCTGGGGGAGGGACGGCTCGTTCTGGAAGCACATCGCGACAAGCCACCTCCACAAGGATGGCTGGGGGTTCAGGTGCTGAGGCCGAAGGCTTCTCTTCCTCTTCCTTTGGGCCTAGAAGGACACAGAAGCAGATGCGTGGGTGTGAGGGCAGCAATCGTCCACTGTCATCAACTCCTACGGCTCGCTACTTCCATCAGCAAACGCCTAGGGGAGCCAGCACAAGCAGTGGGCACCCTGGCTTCACACGCCTCACGCACGAGGCTGACCTGGGGAAGAACTTGCTTCACCCATTCCTTCGCTCCCACATTCATTCGGAATTCAGAGAGCCTTCTGCATCCTGGGCTTCACCAACGCAATGGACAGAAATGCCCACAGCGGCTGGGTTCTGGTGTGGGAATTTACAAGCTATGTATCTGTTTTTAAGCACAGTGCACTGGCTGAGCAGTGATCCCAAGTCTCAGGAGACCAGCTGTCAACTCCAACTCTGGAGCAAGGGAACTGCCGACCCTACAGCCCTACCGACCCCGCCCAGCTTACAGCCCTACCGACCCTGCCCACCCTACTACCCTATGGACCCTGGGACCCTACCACCCCCAGCTTGGTCGTCTGTTTTGGCCTCCTGCCTGAAACTATCCATTTAGAAGCTATACAACAGCTTTTCAAGTCTACCAAAGGTGGAGATGGTCTTTCCCAGCACCATCTCAGGAGCTCCACCCACACAGAAGGAAACAAGGTCTCAGCTCATAGCTCAGGCTGCAGCCCAGCTGAGCCAGGCAGAGTGAGCACAGCTGCCCAAGGACCACGCCTGGGGTGGAGCCTCTGTAGAGAGCTAAGAGCAGGGCCCATGCTCTAGGTGAGAGTGCTGGGAAAGGCTAGTGGAAGGGGCATGAGGCAAGCCCACAAAATCTGAAATTTGCCTCCTCACTGCTGCAAGCCTTTATTCCAAGGAAAACCAGGAGCTACCTGTTAAATTTGAACAGAAGCGTGATCTAGCTTATACTAGGGTTCTTTCATTGCTAGAAAGCAGGCAGGACAGCCTTGCAGGACAAGGGTGGTGGCAGATGGACAGAGAGCAGAAGGGCAGGGGCGACACGGGTGATGTAGGGCAGATGAGGTTGACAGGGATGCCTACTCCCACGAGCATGGCAGGCCACAGGAGAGGTGGGTGGTCTAGGGGAAACAAGAGCCCACCCTGGACACATAGCTGCTGCTAAGGTGCCCAGTACAGAGACTGCAGGGACGGTGGCAAGCAGGAGGACTGTACCACATGAATCCCAATGCATCAATCAAGAACTTTAGCCCAGAAATGGCGAAGCCCTTAAACAGAGATGGGGCAGGCGGAGAGGTGGAACTTGAGCCCACACCAACAGTAAGGTGAGCACTGAGAAGCGGACTCGCCACTCACCAAGGCGCTGGCTCAGTGGCCATGACAAGCTGCTGGGGACCAGGGGGGACAAACACCTAACAGTTCACTGCAGAGGGGTTTGAATGGGGATGTGGTGAAGGACAGGGTCTGAAAGCCACACTTTCAGGCTGGAACCACTGCTGAAAGGCAAGAGCAGAACAAACAGACTGGGGCCTCCAACACAGTAGGTGGCTGAGGCTGTGTAAGACTTAGGGAACACTGGGTCCCTATTGCTGGGGACACTAGTAGAGCCACACACAGCTCCAAAGGCTCTGTGGCAGAAGCCAAGCTACCACACCTCCAGGCCACACTAGCCACTTGGTCCCAGCATCACCAGATACCTAATGGGCAGCATGAGGCAGACAAGACAGATGGCTGAGAGCCTGTAAGCCATGGCCATGCTTGCATGAGGCCAAAGCACACAGAGAACATCTTGCGTGGCCTGCCTGCTGGAGAAGGCACTCAGTGGGCTGAGCCTGAAAGGAGCCAAGAATCAAGGACATAGAGGAAAAGCCAGCAGGGAGGACTTAAAGCCCACAGGACACTGAGCATTCACGTGCTCCTCTCAGGGGACTGTAGGGGGGCCTGCTAGGTATCTGACTGTAGGCGCACCAGCTTGGGAGATTTGCCCACTGGGTGGGTCAGAGGGGGACAGAACACTTGGCTGAAGCAAGACCCATTTACAGAACACAGCTAATGGCTGTCCACCCCGTGCAGTGGACATGGCAAGCAGCAGCAGAGGCATGACCCTGCAGGCAGGCAGGGGTGGGAGAGACGCAAGGCAGCAGCACTGACCCAGGCACCCAGGCCCAGTAACGTCTCCGAGTACACAGCCCTCCCCTCTCTGGCTGCCACAACCTTCACCCAGCCAGGCCCCTGATCCCAAGAGAAACAAATGTCTCTCCCCCAAACCATCCACAAATTGGGAAGCGAGTCATCTGACCGGGGTGTGGGAGAGGAGGGATTTCCAATGAGGAGCCAATTCTGTTTTCAACAATCAGAACCCTGCCACACAAGCTGAAGAAAGGAAACAGAAGATGCCTCTCTCTTTAAGACTCAGAAATTTTTTGTCAGAATTTGTGGTTTCCTTCAATAGAGGAAAAACATCTCCGTGGCTGGTGAAAAACCCAGATTTAAACTGTCCAAAGTTCTCCAGGCCACAATGTATACACCTCCACTGTCTGGCCAGGTTGTGTCACACACACCCACACGTGTCCGCATGTGAACAGGAGTCACAACATGCAGGAACACTCAGGGGCTTCCCTGCACACCAGGACCAGCTGTGGCACAGCTGAGAAGTCGGTGCTTAGACCCACTCCCTCATGGATACGGGAGGGAATCAGGACCCGTCAGTGCCCTGCATGGCCGGAGGGGCAGGACTCTGTCCCAGAGTGACCACCGTCACTGTGGGTCAGGCAGGTACTGTGATGCTGAACGTAGCTTCCCAAGGCTCTAGGACACACATGTCTGTTCTCGCTTCATCAAAGGGTTCAGAAAACTACTGTAATGTTCCTTTGTGAATGTCATCTTCACAAACAGGGCTAGCAACAGCTGTAAAGAAATTCGGACTATTGGCTTGTTTTTCCCTACAGGTGCCTCTGGTCAGTCTTCTGGAAGTTGCCCACTTGAGTTACTATGAACAGCTCTCAGCAGGGTGGCCTGGTGATGCCCTGGGACACATCAGGACACCCCAGATCTTGACCAACAGTCAAGGAGCCCCCCGTGAGCTCTGCCTCTGCGCTCCCATTTCCCACTGGGTTGGGCATGCTGACCCTTACAGGAATGACAAAAAACACCAACAGGTGAGTCAGAATTTCAATTCTAATAATGAACACTTCAGACCCTTACCATTTGTCCTACAAAATAAGTTTGGTATCAAATAAATACTGGAGTATAAAACCATATATGAACGTGCACACATTGTAAACACAGGGTAGAATCTGCTCAGGCTGAACGTACCACAAACACCAGGTGCCAGCATCACTGGCACCCAGCCGTCGCCTGCAGGCCTGGCTTTAATCATCACAGATTCCTTTCCACAGTCTTGAACTCCATATTAACTTACAAATGCAAAAATACAGTATGAGCCCATCTATTTTAACAATAGGATTATTTATTTTATTTTTAACAAGAGTTCTTTAATAATTTCCTGAAGGGAAAGTAGGATGTGGGTGGCTCCCTTCAGCACCCTGACCTGGGCTGATTCCCAGGGGGCACTCAGGGGCCACACGGTGGGCTCCGCAGGCACAGCCCAGTGGGGCGCCCCGGTGCCACAGGCTTACCTTCTGTGGGATCTCTCATACTTGCAGCGCTGGGGTCTGGCTCTCCTGTCTTCAGTTCCACGTCCTGGCCTTTGCTGCCTTTGTTTCTACCTTCCTGGTACTTTTTCTTCCCTGAAATAGAGTATGCATTTGTTTATTCTGTCATCCACTCATCATCATTCCAAATTCCTGAGGGAGCCAAGGCAGAACGCAGGCCAGCCGGCAGGGAGCCGCCAGGCAAGGATCACCTGTCTCCCTGCTGGAAGGAACAGAGGGTGAATGCAAACACAGAAAAACAGAAATCGACAAGTTCCACATTTTGGAGAATTCTGGGCTTTCATTCCCTTCATTCCTGTAATAGTTAAGTGAAGAACGACGACCAAGGAGAAGCCGCAACACTGGCCATTTCTCCCATCCAAGCTCTAACCATTGCCCAGCCCTGCTTAGCTTCCGAGATCACACGAGATCAGGTGTGTTCAGGATGGTATGGCTGTAGACAGCACTGGCCATTTCTAGTAAGTTCCTCAGAGGGAGGTACAGGCCCTCGGCAGAGGTGTGACTGCCCACCATGGTCCACGGGAAACAGAAACTCAGAGTCCACTGGGTGACAAGGGACGCCCGTGCATAGTGGCTCCTGCACTAATTCACTGTGGCTGGTGGGATCCGACCCTCACGTCAGCAAAAAGGAGGCCCTTCTCTGGGGACTCGCCACAGGGCACTGATGCCAGGGCCAGCAGCAGATGGCCCTCTCCTCCCTTCCCAGGGTGGCTTCAGGCACACAGCTTCCTCTGCTCTCCCCTCAGAACCTCTGGAGCTCTCCTGTCCCTTCCAGAGCCAGCCTCCTAGCACCTGCATTGCTGCACTGCTAAAATGATGGAAAACTGCCCTGTGCACACCAGAGAACTGCGAGAGGGCAGCGTAATTAGCCCCGGTGCACACAGGAGAGGAAACGAGGCGAGGGTTTGTACTAAACAGCACCACTGAAGGGATCCAGGCCCAAACAGAAACAGTAATCACAGCACAACGCAAACACTAATACCCAAACACCAACTCTGATAACAATTTGAGATGCAACAAAAAACTCAGAACATTTAATCATCAGTTAGTCAAGACCCTGAGACACTACTGTAGTTGTCTAATCCTCCCGACTGCCTCTGTCTCAGGGTTCACTAAACCACACACCCGCTAGTCCTTCCAGGGGCTGCTCCCCGGGTTCAGATCAGATACACTCTTGGCTGGGACCACACTGCGGTGGGAACAGAAGCTGCGGGTCAGATCTCTGGCGGAAGAATGTTAAACCACACCCTCCATAGGACCAAGACTGACCTATGATTCTGTGCGGGGTACCCCTGCCCCCACAACCCTGTCTCCATCAGCAATACCACTTGGCCTACTGCTGACCACACAGAGGCTCTTGAGGGGCCCAGTTGTGCTGACGGAACCAAGACTGGGCTGTTTCATGTCCCTGTGTGGGTGCCTATTTTCTTTGGAAAGGCTCATGTCTGAGTCCTAACATCAAACACAGTGCCTGTTGTGACACCTGCTCACCTACGGTGATGCGACCACTCCAGGACTGCACTTGAGGAACCCCGGCCGGCTGCTTCCCAAGAGAACCCTCAGAACCTTGACTCAGAGGTTGTGCTCAGCCAAGACTTTCCCTGAATCAAAACCACACAATTTTTCCAAGTTGTCATTTCCACCCTCACAGTGCCCCAAACAAGTCAAGGATGGTTTCTTACTGACCACTCACTTTCTACTTTTTGCTTTCCACTTTGTATGAATCCTTAAGATAAATTAAAAGGAAAGCCAGGGTCTACACCATGCCTCATTACATAAACTTTAAAAAAAAAAAGACTTCCTTATTTTCATTGGAAAGGCAGATTTACAGAGAGAAGGAGAGACAGAAAAGATCTTCAACCTGCTGGGTCACTCTCCAAATGGCTGCACTGGCAGGAGCTGAGCTGATTTGAAACCCAAGAGCCGGGAGGCCCTTCCAGGTCTCCCACATGGTTACAAGGGCCCAAGGAGTTGGGCCATCCTCCACCGCCTTCCCAGGATATGAGCAGACAGCTGGATGGGAAGTGGAGCAGCCAGCACACGAACCAACATCTACATGGGATGCCCGTGTTTGCATGTAGAAGGTGAGCCAAATGAGCCATCGTGCCAACCCTACATTACATGAACTTTACACATTTGCTTTCAGGCTCAGTGTTAATCCTCCGTGAAGCAGATAACAGTGTCTGCCACACCAGCCCGCAAAGCACTACCTAAATGTCACCCTCGGGGCACACTCCTGATGACATGGCCCCCAAGAATCCAAGAATATCTCGCTCAGGGCCAGCCAGCAGTCAGGTCCCGCTACTCCCCTTAGCCACCATGTCAGAGCCCAGCTGTGGTGCAGAGAGCCAGCTGCAGCAGGCACCATGTTCAGGAGACTGTCGGGACAGTCCCTCCCCAGGCAGCTGTATAAGCGACATCCAGGGCCAGCTCACTCTCTGGGAAAAGGTCATCCAGCAGAACCCAGGGCTCGACCCACAGGATGCCAGCAGTCCTCCCAACATGGGAGCGAGGCCCGCATCTCCCCAGGAGAGGACCATCTAGCCGGACTGGTGTACTCTAACTCTGGGTCACCAGGAACCCGGTGTGCATGCGTTCATTGAAAATGACACAAAGCACCTGAATAACACCAAACACGTGCTCCAAGCTAGAGGACTCAAACAATCAACTTGCCACTGAAGCACCTGGTAAATGACAGACGGCTCCCAGCAGCTCTGCCTACTGTGACTGGCACCTTTCACTCACGAACTCAGATGATTTGACTCCCAAAACAATGTTCTCATTGTCGACTAGAATCCCCGTCAAGCTACCTCTCACTAACTCGGGCCTCAGGCTAGAGAGGAAAGGGCTTTCTGGTCTCCTGCCCTACCTGCTACGCTGTAGGGGTTACAGGAGCCCAGGGCCACCTTCAGCCCGGGGAAGGACGAAGTTAGACCCAGAGCTCCTGCTCCCACTCACGTTTGCTTGGCGGCACTCGCAGTGCCAAGAACTACAACTGGCAGCGGGCAGTGCTGCATCCCTCCCACCAGCGATGTTCCCTCTGCTGATGCCATCCACCATCAGACTGAAAGAAACGTCCGAGGGCTCTGCCACACGGGAGACCACTGGGCGCCTGGGAAGCACACACGTGCACTGACCATCGCGCTCTTGCAGAACCCCACACGGCATTACCACCGGCTGGCTGCTCCACTGGGTCCAGATGAGAGGCTCAGGAATGAAACACAAGTGAGCGAAATGGGAAGAGTGACGACAGCAGCTAGGACAGGACAGAACTCTGGATCCACAGAGAAGAACGGACCATATTAAGTCAAGGAAATGCGAGTGAAACAGAAGGAAACGGCAGTTACCAGGTGCCTTTATGTGAGAAACGCAGCACTTAACTGTGCTCGGTGCTCAACACCGAGCCCAGCGGCCTGACACCCTTACCACGCAAGGGCCAAGACAGGACACAGCGCAGGACCAGAACTGGCATCAGCTGAGCAGTCACAGGGTGGCAGCTGTGGAGCAGTTATAAACAGCCAGGGGTACTCTTGCTACTGCAGTTTCTGCTATGGCACACCTGCTACAAAGCACCTGACACCCACGCTTGCTTAGCCACTTAGATGAACAGTGACTAGGTTTACACCAAAGGAACCACAATCAAATCAGAAGGCAGTTTCTTCCCATTTCCAGTCAGCAGCACAGAACCTTGACCCGAACGAACAGGAGTCCGCACTCAGCAGTCAGTGCGATCCCCACCACTCCCACAGTGCCCAGCGCTTCCCGAGACGCTGGCATCGCACAGCTAGTGTCTGCGAAGCCAGCTGCAAAAGCAAAACTGCCTTCACGTGAATAACTCAACCCAGGTCTACACCACTTCTCTCTCCCAATAAATGCACAAACACCAAGCAAACCAACGCTGCATGCGAACATGCCCATACAGTACACAGAATGAAAAATACTAAGAGGCTGCTTAAGCTCCATTAAAAATTCATCCCAACAGTGATGTGCAGGGCAATTTAAATGAGTTGAATTTAGCATCTTGGGGGAGTGCATGGATGCTGTCTCCCCACTGGGGAGATGGCCAACCCCACACACAGCCCTGGCCTGGGACCCGCACTCCGGACACCAGGCGTTGGGCAAGAGGCCCAGCCAGGGCAGCAGCAGCAAGCACAGAAGGCCGTGGTAAGTGACCTCTTCATAGGCTTTCTTTGAGACACACTCACATGTACACATGCACGGAGGGAGAGTGAATCTTCAATTGCTGGTTCATTCCTGAAATGCTAACAGCTGGAGCTGGGCCAGCCTGAAGCCCAGAAATCCATGAGGGTCTCCCATGTGGGTGGCAGGGACCTAAGTACTTGGGTCACTGTATGCTGAATCCCAGGATGTGTAGCAGCAACAAGCTAGGGAAAAGCAGGTAGGTCTCAAAGCCAGGCACCAGGATCCGGGCTGTGTCACAATACTTACTTCGTAACTAAAGAGAACAAAGACAAAAAACTAAAATCTCACAGATGGCACTAGAAAGCAAGGGGGACTTATGGTAATAACAGAGTTGTCATCCGGCACGACAGCCAGGCTATATCACTCGAAAGCCGGTGAGGGAGCAGATGGAGTCAGACCTCAGCCACTCTGAATTTAGTGGTGGCTGGAGGTTCTGTATTTGGTGTGATGAGGAAGAGAAAGGCTAGAATGGATAGAAAACTGAAATTTCCTACAAGAAATGATGTATTTCAACAGCTATGAGTGTATACTTTAGAGAAAGATCACAGTGACACGGGTGTCCAAAGCCATCAACAGTCACGGGCAGAGCTGCAAGCTCAGCAGCGTCACGCCCAGAGTGGCCAGGCTGGCATCGGGAGCTGGGCCCTGGAGGTCCGCCCTGCTGAGCACTGTGCATTTTCTACACACCACTATTTCACTCACCCAAAATAATCCCATTTAGTTGACAGTAGTAAGGTCAGTCCCTCTGGCACAAGTTCAAATCTTTTTGTGCAGGAGTTTTATGTCATTCTGGAGGTGACTCAGGAAAACCAGACTCGGATTTAAAGTTGCTCATGGTATTCTGACAACTCCAGACCTTCTTCCCAACAGAA